ATTAGGACGGGCCATGGGCCTCATGCCTGTAGTCCCACGCTGCTCAGGGAGGCTGAGGAGGAGGGATCACTTGAGGCCTGGGGAGGTCAAAGCTGGCACGCTGAGCCAAGATCATTGCCGACTGCACTCCAGGGTCTGTGATGCACAGAGTGAGATCCCTGTCTTAAAAAAAAAAAAAGAAAAGAAAAGACAAAATAAGAAGAGATAAAGAGGAAGAAAAAAAAAGAGAAGGAAAGGCAAGAAAGAAAAGGGAAAGAGAAAGAACTCGGCCTCCCAAAGTGCTGGGATTACAGGCGTGAGCCACCGCGCCCGGCCACAAGTTATTCTTAGAGGAATATCTTCTAGGACTGGAATTCTACAAACTTATTTTTGGGTGAAAGTCTCCCTCACAAGCTCATGTCCCCCCAACACCCCACCCCCGCCAAAAGGGCATAGAATATTATGTGATCTAAATCGACCAGCAACTGCCTCCATTTGACAACTCTTAATGCTTTAAGTTTTCAATTTCAACAGTACTTCGCTACAAATTTACGAGTTTTTCTGCTAATAATGGTGTCACAAACATTGTATCCCTCCAACACAATATTCCATTTTAGTGGCAACTTTGGATACCCTTGTTTGCTTTCTGTTCTCATTGTTTTTCCAATATTATGCCCTTGATTCTACACATCCCCAGTCAATGTGTGATCAATTCCTTCTCCAAGTGTCTTATCTCAAAGAGAAGTCGGTCAAACTGGCGCGCACAGAGCCAACATCCCCGGAAACACCTTAGATACTATGACAGAGGCCGCAGGATCACGTTTCCACGAGCAGAGTTCAGGCGCCATACCTATGAGTCCCGTGCGGTAGCCACGGTGCTGCAGCAGCTTGGCAAAAGTCGTTTCATTGGTAGGAAGACCACCTGAACCACCAAGCCACGTGAGGGCACGGTTGAGGTTGTAGGGAGACACCATCCCTAAATTCACAGGAGTCAATAGGTTAGCACCATAGTCTTTGCTAATACCGAATTTATCCCGACATGCTTCAAGTCCTTTCCTCCTGCACCTCCTCAAAGCCATTCTTCCCCAAGTTTTCTGTTGCCTTTCTGGCTGTACATCCTTGACTCTCCTTTTCCCACTTGCTAAATGCAAACATTCCCTTGGAATTAGGGCTGCCAGAATAAATATGGGATACTCAGTTACACTCCTTTGAATTTCAGACTAACAACAAATAACCTTCGTTAGTTTTTCATGTAGAGGCTGATAACCTTCATGCTTCAATAGAATCTGAGGACACCACTGCATTTTAGCTGTGTATAAATACTCGGATATTTAGCTGGGTATAAATACATTTTTTAATGTATCATTGGGAATCTGAAATGAAGAATTGTAGGAGTGACAATTTCTTTTTCATATACGTGTGTGTATATATGTAATTTTTTTTTTTTTTTGAGATGGAGTTTCGCTCTGTCACCCAGGCTGGAGTGCAGTGTCACCATCTTGGCTCACTGCAACCTCTGCCTCCCGGGTTCAAGCAATTCTCATGCCTC